CGTTTATCCTTGGTTATCTTCACGTGGGTTATCAGCCGTAACGGCTTAACTAGCGGGTTGTTAGTTTTGGGCTATCTCTTTAGGGAAGGTTACGTAACCGCTGTTTCCGGGTGTGGTGCCATGGATTCTCTGATTCGGAGAAGAGGGTCAGCGGCCAAGGGCTCGGAAGATGCCAGTGCGGCAAGGGAATCGGACTATGCTGCAGCCTTGGGTCAGGCAGGGGCTCCAGGAGTCTCTGGCATCGGCACGAGTGACGTGCCGGTGAATGGTCTTCGGGCAGGAGAAGTTTCTCCTGGAACCTTAGAATCTGGAAAGGGAATGGGTAAGCCAGTGGGCAGCGAGCTGCCTATGGCGAATCCGTTCCATAGCGAAAAGGTGCGGGCCGAGGTGGACCTGATCAGGAGCCGGCCTGTGAACCTAGATGTGGATGCTAACCGGTTAGGGTTGGAAGCGGAAGGTGCAGCTCTGGGGGAGTCCGGAGGGAAGTTTCCCCTGGAGCCCAACTATGCAGCCATGACTGGTGCAGCTACTGCGAATGAGGATGTTCCTAGGGTCGCCCGAGTGGAAACCATGGGGGATTCTCCCTCACGGGAGCCTGTGAGAGGAGATGTTATTCAGGAGGCCAAGGAGCAACTCGCGCAGGAAGTTCGGGTGGAGCCCTCTGTGGAGCTCGGATTTGCGGCGGCTGAGATGGAAGAATCTCGATGGTGCCCTACCGAGACCGCGGAGTACCTGGATGGGGAAGAAAGAGAGCTGATACCGGTTGAACTGGACAGATTGGGCAAGATGGAAAATATGCTGCTTCAAGTTATTGAGGAGAACAAATCCCTGAAGCGTCGGCTGGAGACAGAGTCGAGGTCACACTCCTCGTGGTACAGCGGGGGAATGGCGCCTGAGCAACCGTTCTCTCCGGCCACTTTTGGCCAAAAGGCCGAGGATGTACATAGGTTCGTGTCGGCCGATTTCCCAGGGTCAGCGGCTGTGGCAAGCTCGAGTATGGGTTTTGCAGGGTTAGAGCTGGGTTGTGGAGGTGTCTTCCGAGGGATGCCGCAATCTTGGATGGGGCCCAGGTTCGAGGCGCCGGAAGAGAGGTTGGTAGCAGGGTATCCTAAGGGTTTGGGGATGGGCCTACCAGGTTCTGAGGAAGGGTTTCGTTCGCGCCAGGCCCAACCACCTCCGCCTCTTCCATTGCCCCCTGTACCTGTAGTGGAACCTAATGTAAGAGTTGAGCAACCCCAGTCTATGACGCAGTTTGCTGAAGGTATGTTGGGACTTGGAGCGGGTTTCCACACTCCTAGGGCTAGCCAGGGTGGCGGGGTTAAGGTTGATCCTCAAGGTTATCCTATATCCCCCGGGGGAACAGTGATTCGGCCGCCGCCAACTCCGCCGAACGCCTTGACGAGGGTACCTGCATCGATGCAAGGTGCGCCCGGTTTGGGAGGGTTGGGATTAACTTCTAACCCAGATAAGTGGGGCTCAGGGGATACTCGTCCGGAGGAGCCAGCTAAGTACATATCGGAGTTACCCAAGCTTACTTCAGCTGATCTAGCTAGCAGTGCTGTGGTTTGTGGGAACTGGTTAGCGCAGGTGAGGCAGATTTTCCAGGGGTTATCTCCAACTGCGGATGTATGGTTTACAGCGGTGGAGTTGGCCGCCAGTCAAGGTTACAACAAGTGGTTGACTGCTGATCCCTTAGGTAGGTTGGCTTTGGATCCAGGGTCCATAGTGGCAGTGTACGATTCAGTTCGGTTCCAGAGGGTTGAGAGTCGAGCGGTGAGTCTGTTATTGGCTTCGCTCCCTGCTTCCGTTAAGGATGACATTATCATGAATAGGTGGCTTTCTACCTCGGCTATCTTATTTAGGATACTGTGCTTATACCAGCCTGGTGGAAGCACTGAACGTGCACATTTGCTGAGTCAACTGGTAACCCCGGAAACCTGTAAAAGCTTCCCTGAAGCGGTTCGTATTCTCCGTAAGTGGCAACAAAGTATGCAAAGAGCTGCAGAAGTCGGGGCTGCGCTTCCCGATGCGTCGCTGCTCCTTAAAGGAGTGGACGGGGCAACCGCGTCATTGCTTTCCTCGAATCCGATGATTGCCTTTCGGGTGAATTCCTTCCGCCATAGTGTAGCGCTGGATTATAACCCGACGACCATGGGGGTTACTCAGCTTGTTAGGCTTCTGCAGGCGGAGAGTGAAGCCGTGGCATTAGTGGACAGTGCGGCAGGGTCGGACAAGAGAGCCAAGGCTGCAGTTTTGAATGCAGCAAAGGATTCGAGTCCTGTTCGTCCTCCGCCTCCCCCGCCGCCGAAGGCTGCGGTGGAGGCCAGCGTCGCGGCAGTAGGTACGGGCTCAGGTGATAAGAAGGGCAAGGGTAAAGGTAAGTCTTCGGAGGGTACCGTTCCGGCGTGCTTTAAGTTTGCTGATGGATCAGGGTGCAAGTTCGGGGACTCGTGTATGTTTAAGCACGATCGGTCTAAGGCCCGTAAGGAGGGCAGGTGCTTGGCGTGTGGCCAGGCGGGTCACTTCCGCCCAGAGTGCACGTTAGTTGCCCCGGAAAATCGGCCGGTTTTGACTGAGCAAGGGGCTGACGGGTCGCCTAATTCCTCGGGGGGCAGGGGTGCCGGTAAGGCGAAGGCTAAGGCTAAGTCGGGTGCCCAAGCTAAAGGGGTAACCGAGGATGCGGGTGCAAAAGGGGAAGTAGGTGCAAGTGGGGGGGGGGGGAATGTGGCTGCTAGTGTAAACGCTGCTGTGAGCCAAGAAGCGTTGGTCGCAGAGGCTGCTAAGCTTCTTAAGGGTGTATCGCTTAGAGCGTTAACGCTAGGGGAAGTGGATGATTCTTGGCTTAGAAGTGCGTTGGCATCGGCATCGGACCCGGAATACTGTTTAGTTGATAGCGGTGCCACGAATGCCCTCCGCCCAGCAGAGGACCAAGAGTTAGAAGGGTGTAGGGTGATCCGTGTGGACCTTGCCTCGGGGGGTACAGATCTTCGGATTAATGGTTATGGTACTCTGCTGCATGTGGGCCCGTGTCAAGTGATTTTGCCCGCGAGTTACCTCATTGAGCTAGGGTACCTTATCTCTTGGAAAAGGAAGGGTTGTAAGATTAAGCATCCTAGGAGGGGGTGCCTAGACGTAATCGTAGTAAAGGGTTGCCCGCTGATTCCTAGGTCTTTGGGACTGAAGTTGCTTCAGGAGTATGAGGAAAGGAAGGCGGGAAGGCCGTCGTTGAACAGGGCTGAGACGGAGGATTTGGGTATTGTCTTGGAGCCTCAGGACGCCCGGGATTGGTTGCGTTTTAGGTTGACTCAGTGCGGGGAGTCAGGACTTACAGATACGGACCAGCTGGTGTTTCTTCGCGCTATGTTTCCAGGTGTTACAGTGCGTACCTTGATTCGGGCATGTGTACCCGCGTTGGAAGACGGACCCATAGACTGGTCAGAGTTGCCTTGGAATCGGAGGTTTAGGCGGTCCATTGAAAGAGGTGGTGCTGCTTCAGTGATGGTAGCAGTGGCGCCTTTTCCCCATGCCTGGAAGGGTTTAGGAAGGGTGGTATCAGTCGCGGATTCTGAGAAGGGTGTGGGTTCTAAGCTGGTGTTTCAGCTGTTGATGCGTTGGGCCTGTTCGGGGGTAATTGGTGCTGTGGTAAAAGGGGCTGCTGGCAGAGGGGAGGATACTCGTTGTCCGAATGTTTTGGAAGAGGACGAGTTAGTACGAATGCTGCGTTGCTTCCTGTTATTTGCCGTGGCCCAAGCGGCCAGGGAGTCTAGTCGATCTAGCCACCAGTTACTTAGTGCCCCTCTAGTTGAAAGGCTTAGTACGCCCGAGTCGCTGAAAGCCTGGGCGGTGCGCAGAGCAGCAGTTAATTTGTCTGCGATACCAGCTTCCCCATCTGAAGTGGGGGTTGTGAGCCAAGTTTTTCTCGCGTTCGAGCCGACTGAAATGGACAGTCATATCCATCCCATGGGGCCGACGAGATCGGAACCGGATAAGGGGTGGTTGAGGTTGTTCATTAGGGAATATAAATTGAATGTGGCCTGTTTTGATCAGGGGTGTTTTGGAGCCTCGGGTGTATGGGGTTCAAAGTTGGTAACATCTTCGTGGTTCCTTTTGTGAGACTTTGCATATGATCAGGGCTGAAGGCCAGGCGAAAGCGGCGCTTGAGGCTATTGGGGCTTTGGGTTTCGGCCAATGTAGCGGGGGTGTTGGTTGGGTAGGTAACCTGTTGAGGTTGGTGCAGCAGGCATGGATGCTCTGGAGGTGGGAGCAAGAGAATCAAGCTCAGGTTGAGGAACGGCGGCTGATCTTGAGGAGACTTTCGGAGCAGGAATCTATGGAGCGCCATATCTCAAATGATCATGTACCTTATCGTAAGGGGTGTCCTATCTGTATTCAAGCCCAAGGAAGACAGCGCTCGCATTGGAGGAGTCAGTTCCCTGTCGTTCACTCCCTTAGTGTAGACGTAGCAGGACCGTTGATTTCGGGTTTGTCGTGGAACGTTGAGTCTAGTGGACGAGATAGAGGAAAAGGGTATAAGTATTTTTTGGCGTGTGCTTATACGGTACCTAAGGGATATGAGTTAGGGGCAGGGGTTGTAGAAGGCGAGGTTCCGGAGCAGGTGTTAGAAGGGTGCGACCTGGAAGTAGAAGTGGAATCAGCTGGTGGAGAGATTCCAGCTGAGCCAGAAGTAGGAGAGGTAGGCACTTCTGCGAGCCTTTTGACATTGCCGGAAGGACCTGGTCTTAGCGCTGTATCATTTCGCGTACGTGGCAAGAGACCTGAGGAGGGAAGTGAACCTGTGGTGGATGCTGATGATGGAGGTGGTGTTGGTCTGATGCCCCCGGCCCCTCCTGTGGCTGAGGAGCTCAAGGGTAACCGGACGTTGTTTTTCGGGGTACCGTTGAGGTCCAAGCATGCTAGGGAGATTTTGCCTCATATTCAAGGGGTGATAAATAGGTTGGAGGCAACCGGCTTTCCAGTTCAGCGTTACCATGCAGACAGGGCTCAAGAGTTAAGGTCGGCGGCTTTGGTAGCTTGGTTAAAGGGGCAAGGAATATATCCTACCTGAACGGCGGGGGAGTCCCCGGCGGGTAACAGGGCGGAGTTAGCGGTTCAGCAGTTGAAAGCGTTTGTCCGCAAGTTACTCTTTGTAGCGGAGTTGGGCAAGGGTTATTGGCCGCTAGCGTTAGTACATGCCTCGGCTAGGAACTGGTTGACCTTTTGTGAGTCTTTGGGAGTGCCGCAGGTTCCCATGTTGCCATTTGGGTTGCGAGTTCATGCCCGTAGGCGTACTCGTACGGGGTATCAGGCGCAGTGGGAATCACGTACTGTAGAGGGGCGATATTTGGGACAAGCACCAAGTACCCCTGGAGGCCACCTGGTGTTGGTTCCATCTGAGACCCCTGGTGACATGAAGGTTCTTCTTACTAACACGGTTTATCCCCTCAGTGCGGAGTTGAAAAGGGACTCCAAGCCTCGCTATCGCTTGAAGGGCAAGCGCTCCGCGCCGTTCGCGGTGAGAGTAGTAGCTGCTGATGACGTCTCTTTCTGGCGGTGCGAAGTTGCCAGGTTTCCACCTGGGGGGGGGTCCTCCTATGAACCGTTTTTCGTCGAGACTTCGGGTTCTTCGGTGGCATATTTGGGGTTAGGGAATTCGGAAGAAAGATGGCCAGAGGCCTCGACCACCTCTTGTGAAGAAAGTGTTTCTTTGGGAGAGGTGAGTGGGGGTTTCGGAGCGTGTTGGGAGATGATGGGTCCCCTTGAGGAAAGGCTAGCTACTTTAGGGTCTGGAGAGTTTCTGGAGGCTAAGGTAGACTCTGGACTGTTGGAAGGGGCTAGCCAGGAGTGGATTCAGGATTTTTTAGCACGCCAGGCGTTTTCCGACTCAGACTGCCTTGAGGTCTTGGAACGAGGACTCGAGGTTCTCCCGGTGACCCGTAGGCCTTTAGGGAAGAGAAGTGGTAGGGCAGTACTTCTAGGGCTCTATGGGGTAGGAGGCTTTCATGGGATTACTAAGGCTACGGGTGCTTATCCAGAAGTGGTGAAGTACCTGAATGAGTTCCTGAAAACTCAGTGTTCCGAGCATGTATGGACCACCTTGTATGTAACAAGGAATGCCACTTTGCCAATCCACCGCGACTTGAGAAATGCTGAGGGTTCGCAAGTTTGTGTGCGGGCTTTTGGGGACTTCGTAGGTGGCGGACTCTGGGTTGAAGATGAGCGAAATTGTGGTCCGGTTGGTAAGTTGCTTCCTTCGGGGGATAGGAGGTTTGGTTCGGTGTTTGATGTTAAAAGCGGTCCGGTAGTGTTCTCGGGTAAAAGATGGCATGTTGCTGAAGAGTGGGAAGGAGAAGTTCGTTGGGTGATTTCTGCTTTCACTCCTAGGGATATTGCTGTAACCACGAAGGAGCAGTGGAGTGAACTTTCTGAGTTAGGGTTTCCTGTGCGCGAAGTCCGAGCTAAGCTTGAAGGAGAAGCTGCGTTAAGGTTGGCTGTGGAGCCTGATTTGAAATTGCCGGAGTGTGTAGAGTGGGCTGTCGGGCTTCCCATTCCTGTCAAGGATGAAGTGGTTCGAGAGGGTTTAGAGCGGTGGCATGATACTGAGTCTAGGCTTTGTCGTATGTTGGAGCTTGATTTGTGTTGGGCTTGTGAAAGTACTGAAGGGGGAGCTGACAGGCCGAGCCAACTTTGTCACTCGGAGCAGGTGTGTGCTTGGCTTGAGGGCTGTTTAAGCAGGGATAATCCGTCTGAGTTCGTTGTAAAGGCGTTGCAGAGGGAGATACCCTTGTCTACAGGAGGGGCCCACGAAGATCAGTTTCTTCAAACGCGTACCGTAGGATTGCCGGAAGCTCGAAAGGAGCTTGAGAAGTGGAAGGATCCTGCTTTAGAAGAGGTTAGTAGCTTGGAGGAGGTCAATAAGGCTGTTGATAGGGTTTCGGTAGCTGAGGTTGACCGTTGGGCTGCGGAAGGGATCAATATCGTTCAGCTTCCGGGCAAGGTAGTGCTTACCAGAAAGTCAGGTACGGGTAAAAGAAGGTGTCGTGCTGTGTGTTGCGGCAATTACTTACCAACGGAAAAGTTAGGGCTTACGAGGGAAGATCTTTATGCTTCGGGAGCGGAGTCGCTTTCGGTAAAGATTGCTCTTATCTTTGCAGCGGGACATCCGGATTGGACTGGTGTTACCATTGATGTGAAATCGGCATTTTTGTATGCCCCTATTCGGAGCGACACCAAGGGCACTGAGGAGCGCATCATTGTGAAGCCGCCGCACTTCTTGTTGGAGCTGGGCATAATGACCAAAGAAGACAGGTGGTGGATCCGTAAGGCTCTTTACGGGTTGCCGACGTCGCCTCGGGACTGGGGAAGATACAGAGATGCTGAATTTGCAAAATTCCGCTTGCATTGGGGAGAGGATGAATATCACTTGGTGCAAACCATTTCCGACGACGCGTTGTGGGTAGCGCGAAGAGCTACAAAGGCAGGGTACGGGGATATAGAAGGCCTCCTGGTCGTGTACGTCGATGATCTATTGTTCCTAGCCCCGCAAGGGCTTGGGGAAGCTTTTGTGACGGCTGTTCAGGAGAGGTGGAAGACCTCTACTCCAGAATGGCTCAGCACGAGGCCGTTGACGTTTTGCGGCATGGAACTATCCCAACATGATAATGGATATCGTATGAGTCAATCTGCGTATGTGCGTGAACTGTTGGGGCGCTACTGTGTCGAAGAGTCTGCGTCAGCACCGATCACAAGATGGACAGAGCCAGATGAGGGACCCCCGCCTGTAGCGGAGGAAGTGAAAGAAGCTCAAGCGATAACGGGAGCCCTTTTATGGTTGTCGACTCGTACCCGTCCGGATCTAGCCTACGTGGTTTCTCGTTGCGGCCAACAAGCTACGAAATGCCCTAGTCTCTCTGTGAGTTTGGGGAAGCAAGCTTTGGCGTATCTGAGGTCTACTGTGGACGTGGGGATAGATGTTCCATACGTTATCGGCAGTACCTTTTCGGATCATGGGTTATTGGCTTTACCTCGAACAGAAAGAGTGTTGGAACTTTACACGGACGCGTCTCATAGTCCTAATGGAGGGCGTAGCATTCAAGGAATCTTTTTGCTGTGGAGAGGCGTTCCAGTTATGTGGGAGTCATCACGGCAATCGTTTGTAACTCTGTCGTCGGCAGAGGCAGAGTTAGTAACGATGATTTCGGGTGTGCAGGTAGCGGAGGCAGTCCAACCTTTGGTAAGTGAGCTCATCGAGCAGGATATTACGATATCGCTGCTCGCAGACAACGAAGCAGCTATCCGCGCATTTGATGCGGCCCCGGCCGGTTGGCGGAGTCGTCACTTGCGTATGAGAGCATATGCCGCACGGGAGCGCATAAGCGCTAATCTTCTTCGCGTTACGCATTTGCCAGGAGAGTACCAGATCGCTGATATAGCGACGAAACCATTAGCCCGTGCCCGGATTCTGCAGCTACTGGAATTGTTGCACATTCGTAGTCAGGTGGCCGTATCGGAATCGGCTAAGAACGCCCGAATGCTTAGTAGGCTATCCTTGGGTTGTGCCTCTTCGGCTGGGGTAGTAGCTCAGACCCTGGCAGGCTTGGCGTTACTGGCAATGCTTCCGCGAGCCAAAGGGCAGCCAGCTGAAGACCGGCTGGATGTCAGCGTTGGCTGGTTAGCTTGGGTCTTTGGTGTGGTGGCTACTGGTGTGGCATGTCTTTGGGGATGGTGGTGGGTTTCTAGTGGGATGGAGCCGGTTTTGGTGGGTGGTTTTGAGGGCCTTGTTTTTGAAGAGGATATTGAACTGGATGAAGAGGTAGGGAGTGGAGCTCTAGATACCTTTTCTGAAGGGGCAGTGTCAGTGGAGGCCCCACTCACAGGGCAGGCGACCCCTCTAGAAGCCTCTGGTTCCCAGGGAAAGTGTGGGGTAGGTGCTAGGACTGTTTCGGGCTCTGAAGGGGGTTCGGAAGATGAGGATTTTACGCATCAGGAATGGTTGGCGGCGCAAGCCAAATTTGAAAGGGAGGAAAGGTTTACAGGGTTAACCTTTGTGCAGAGATGTAAGCTTCGACGGGCTTTGGCTCGTGGGGAAGTCATCGACCCGCCAGTGTTTCAGCAACGTTTCGGGCTTCCACCGGAATGGCTTACGACGTTTCGGGACCAGGACTCAGAAGAGGTAGGGTCTTCGGCTTCGGGAGCTGCTTCGGAAGTAGGAGAGGCAACGACAGTGGGGCCAGGGACTTTTGAGTTGTTGAGGCTTCTTGACCTGCAAGGAAGGTTGCTGTTAGGATGCCTGAACGGTCGGTCTGCAGAGTGGGTTTGTCTTCGGCGAACAGCTAGAGCGGTGTTCTACCATCCGTTGATGATCTTAGCTGCAAGGCCGGGAACTTCTGAGTTGTTGAGACTCCTTGATCTGCAAGGAGGGTTGCTGTTGGGATGCCTGGGTATTAGGTCTGCAGAATGGGGTTGTCTTCGACGGACAGCTAGGGCTGTTTTTCACCATGCGTTGATGATCTTAGCTGCAAGATTTCAAGATACCGGGGTTCCTCATACCCTCCCGATAGGTATGACAGGCCGTGTGGAGTTTCATTTTGTGGCTGCCAATGGTAGTTACAGCTGGGTGCCTGGGGATTTTTTGGTTGGGAGCTCCAGTACCTCTTTCAACACCGGCCTTCAGGTTGGGGGGAGTTCAAGTGAAGTTCCTTCAGACGCCGGACTTCAGGTTGGGGGGAGTTCAGGTGAAGTTCCTTCAGATGCCGGTCTTCAGGTTGGGGGGGTTTCAGGCGAGGTTTTAGCAGGCATAGATCCTTTGAGAGGGGTTCAGGTGCCAGGAAGCTTCATCCCGTCACCAGAGGTTCAGGTAGGAGGAAGCGCGAGCAGCACTGATCCTTGTCCAGCTAGGAACCACCAGTATGGAGGGAGTTCGAGCAGCCATGGAATGGGACACCATCAGGATGAATGGGGGTTGACCTATGAGGATCTAACCGCAACGGAAGTCAATCCAGACGATTTTCCGATTGTAGGTGTATGGTTTAGGACGCATTTTTTGGTACAAGTCTTTTCGGTAGCTGGAACTGTCCTGCTGGAGTGGCTGGGAACGCGTGTTCCTGAATGGCTGTGCTTGAGAAGCGTGTCAAGTGCCATTCGGTATGCGTTTGTTAGTTCTTTAGCGGGGAGTTTGCAGAGTGGACCCTACATGGTAATGTTTTCTGGGCCCCAGTGGCAGGTGGCAGTGGAGGAGTATATCCTAACAGGGTACCCTTTTAATGATGTGGGAGCAGAAGATGAGCCAAGAGAAGGGTCCTCCGTAGCTTTGGTGGTTTCGACGGTGAGTTTTCCATATGTAGAGTGGCCTCCCACTGTGGTGGTACATTTCCTGTGGAGAATCTTCGCTTTGTGCGGGAGTCGAATCCTAGCCTGTTTAGGGGATCGGACCCCGGAGTGGGGGTGCATGTATGCCTCAGCTAAAGGGTTTCGCTCTCATGTGGTGTATGCCCTGATATGCTGGCTGCGAAGTACAGGTATTCAAAGAATTGCCGATGGCCCTATTTCTTACGATGCAGCTCAGGCTTATTTGAGAACAGGGGTGCGGTCCTATCCGTTCGAAGCACTCTCAGAGGATGAGGATGTGGACATCGACGAGAGACCGCATCGCGCAAGACCTCCCGGTGGACCCGTATTACGATTGAGGCCCGTTGTAGATGAGCTTCTGGAAGCCTCTTCTTCGGAAGGGGAAGTCAGCAGCTCGACTGCTGAGCCTTCAGAGAATCTTGTCGATTGGTCGGACGGGAATGAGGAGGAGAGGGTTCCTCCTGGGACCCCCTCGCCAGCACTAGTTTATCAGGCCGGGGAAGGTGTACTGCTCTGTTGGTATGGGGATGACTGCGTTCAGGTTCCTTTGCAGGGTTGGAGTATATCGGATGTTGCTGCGATTGGTCAGGGATTGAATACCGGTGACTGGTCTGTGTTTCAAAGGGTCATTTCGGAAGGGGATGCTGAAACCTCGGTAACCCCAGAAGAAGTTCATGCGATTCCTGGAGAGGAAGAGGACCCTGGTGTTGGGGGTTCAGGCTTTGATGTAGGAAGCCCTCTCTTCGGGAGTAGCTGGAGAAGGTATCGGGGAATTTGGGTGTTTTTGCTGCTACTTTGGCTAGAGGTGCAGGCTGCTAGGGGTTATGAGTTTTCCACAGGAGGTTTCGGTCCGGACTATTGTCCTGAAAGCCAGGAACTTATGCTTAGGCAGGCTTGGCCCCCCCATCAAGATGTGGAGATACCTGAGGAAGACTGCGGTTGCCGGAGTAGCTCGTGTTGGTGGGAGGTAGTTAAGGTTGTTTTGGTATTGTTGACCTGGGAAATCGTACGACGTGGATGCTGGTGTTGCCCTGCCTCACAAAGAAGGCTGGTAGATGTCGGCTGTCAGACGAGTCTATGGAACTTGGTCCCGTTGCCTTTGGGGGAACACGTTCGATGTCGGGCCAAGATTTTATTTTGTCTGTGGCGCGCCGGCTTTAAGATTGACGCCGATGGGTATCCAGAAAGGATTCAGTCTGAATTCAACGAGTTGGTAGGTGGTTATCTTCTTAGGGTTGAGTCGGGTGGTGTCTCGAGTTCGGATTCAGATTGAATCTTTCGTTCCCAGGTGAAGTCGACCTTAGACTTGGGTTTGTGGAACAGCTTTGAGCTTGCTGGATTGAGGGAGTTTCAGCTTGGACCTCTAGTGTGTAGCACTGGGCTTTTAGAACCCTTTCACGTAGTGATTGTTGGTGCAGGATTCCATTGAAGCTGACCTCGGTCCCGTTAGTGAAATCTTGTGGACGCTGATGGCCTATGTTTGAATCCCTTTTTAAAAGGGGTGTTGCGGTACAGGGCAACAGTTCGGAATGTGGCTCAGCTTTTGTCCGCCTGGTGCCTTCGTTTGTCATAGGGCGCAGTAGGAGGATCACACAGTACTTGTTTTCCACTTTGAACCCTAGTTATTTCGTCGTGCTTTGGCAGCACGTACGAAAGGGGGAGTGCGTGTGATCAGTCTGAGCATAGGCGCCGCGACTCCGGAAGGCTGTTTTTCATCGAAGAAAAAAGTTAGGTCGTTGTCATTCAGGTCTGGGACATCTGTGTCAGTTGGGTAGTTAGTGTGACTATCCTCCTGGGTACGTTTATCCTTGGTTATCTTCACGTGTTTAGGGCTTAGGGGCTCTTGCCGACTGAGGATCACTCCAAAGTTGAGATCAGGCTTTAAGCTTGTCTGTATAAGCCTCTCTGAATTGGTAGGTACGTTTGATTGGGGTTGCGGTTTCGGGTGTAGGGTATGCTTCGCCTAGCCCAAGGTTCCAGAGACCTCATTATTGGGTCCTTAGGGGTCTATGGCCCTAAGTATAAGGTCCCTGGAAGCATAGGTTATAACACGTGGAGAAGGATCAGCAAGCGACCCGAAGCCTAGACCCGGCACCCTGAAGGAAGCGTCAAAAAAAGGAACCTTGATACGAACCGCCTAAAGGAACCCTTATGGATCTCTTGAATGGGCCCCAAACCATTCCAGGCATCGAGCTTGACAAAATTGGCTTCGGCGCTTTCTTCACGCTCGAGCTGCACGAGAAGAGTGATGGAGCCTCGATGCAGGAAGTTGGAAGTGAGTAGGGTCTTGAAGGATTCTATGGGATCAGGCTTTGCAGGGCTTAGAAGCGTTTTAATAAGGGTCTGCGGGGTTTAAAAGCTTCATACTGGGGTTGTATGTGGGGGTTTCGAAACATTGGGGGTACCTTATAAGTAGGCGTCGTTAGGATTCGATTCCTATTAATTATTTGGAGTCCTATGCATCAGGGCCCCTCATTTTCCGAATCCGCCCCATATCCTTCTAGGGGTTGAACCCAACCCGACACACCCACGAAGCCGGCGAGACGGAGGTTGGTTCCTGCAATACTTCCTAGAGCCCCAGGAGACTCTTAAGGTTCTAGAGTGGCCAGCTATAAGGTTTAGAGTTTAGGGAATTAGGGTTTTAGGGTTTAGTTTTTAGGGGTTTAAGGGTTTAGGGGTTTAGGGGTTTAGGGTTTAGTTTTCAAAGGTTTAGGGTTGGGCACTTATAGGGTTTAAGATTTAGTTTTTTTGGGTGGGGTTTACAGGGGGCAGACTTGGGGTAGCAGCCTCTTGGCACAGCATCTCCGAAACCTCCCTAGAATCGATAAGGGTTTCGGGTTTAGGGGGTTAGGGTTTAGGGTTCAGGGTTTAGGGGGTTAGGGTTTAGGGTATAGGGTTTAGGGGAATACCTTGAGTTCGCCCTGTCACATTTAGGGTTTAGGATTTAGGCTTTAGGGTGAGAGGTGTAGGGCCTAAACCCTCAAAGCCCTAAACCTCGTAGCACTTCGGGTTCAAGGGGTTGCCCTTTACCAAACGCTCCGAAATGCTTCAGCTATATCCCGGAAAGGCTACCGCAGAAGACGCTGGATACTGTGGCCTAGACCTCATGTAGAAATCCTACACCCGACCCGCCGGAAACCCTAGGAGCCTAAGCGTTCAGGGTAGTTAGTAAGCCCCAAAAACCCCAAACCCTAAACCCTAAACCGTACCCGAGGCACGCACTGTGTCAAGTTTTACTACAACAGGGAGCCGGATTCCGGCGATGCTCGGCTTTTGCAGAGAGAGCGAGGAAAGTCCTGAAACGTTTAGGTCCAGGGTTTGTCGAGGTTTCTTCAGGGCTTTCAGAGGTTTAGGGGTTTAGGGTTTGGGGTATCGGACCGACGTGTTCGAATTCAAACTAGGCGAGTTGGTACGTGGGTTGGGGTATTCAGGTTTCGGGTCTGAGATACTCGGTCTTGTGCTTGCTGCCGGGTCTCCTGGGCTGCAGTTACCAGGGGCTCAGGGTCAGGTCACGCGGGTTTGGGGTGTAGGGTTTAGGGAGGGTTGAGGGTTTAGGGTTCAGGGAGCTTGCTGTGTTCGGTTGATACATGCGTTGTGGGGGCTGCCTGTCTGCACGATGGAACTGGCCCGACTCTCGCAGATGTGTTTGGGGGCTCAGAATTTAGTGTGCCTGCTGGGTCGTTGAGGTTCAGAAGCACTCCGTTCTATTTTTAAGCGGTGAAAAGGCTAAAGTCAACTCCAAAAGCTGGGAATACACGAAGCACAAGTAGTGATTAGCGTAGTGTTTCTCGCACTTTAAGCCTCAAGGGAACGAGGATAAACCGATGTTCCGGCTCCCGCTGCCCGAAGCACTCAAATCCCAGCCTTAAGCGATCACGCGTTCTGACAAAACCCCAAAGCCACCGTCCCAGCCAAAGCCAAATCTTTCCTGTTAAGATTTATGGACCCACAGACACCCAAACCCGATGATTTTGGTAAGGGTTCATAGGCACCCAAAGCCAACATATTACCCAAAACCCTAACCCCAATTAGGCCCTGAAAACCCGCTGAACCCCAAACTTTCAAACCCCAGGCAGCCCGAAACCCTAACCCCCACATTCCTAAGCACCCCAGCCCTGACCACGCACCCCCCCCCCCCGCCGCCTCAAACCAAACAATGTACACACAATATTATAGTAGCAAACAACTTAAACCTCGTGAGTTAAAAGCCAAGGAGAAGGTTATATGTCTTTTTCTATCGGTCTATCCAATTATTTATGTGTCTATCTATCTATCTATCTATCTATGTATCTATCTATGTATCTATCTATCTATCTATCTACCTATGTGTCATGACAAACGCAGAAAGCAAGCGAAAGCCAAGGCCGTGTCCTTCCAAGATCTCCCTAAACCCTAAACCCAAAGCCCTAAACCCTAAACCCAAAGCCCTAAACCCTAAACCCAAAGCCCTAAACCCTAAACCCAAAGCCCTAAACCCTAAAGAAAGCCAAGGCCGTGTCCTTCCAAGATCTCCAGAGTTTGGTTCTCCCACTCGGCCGCGAGAAGACACTGCGCAAGGTCCAGGACCTTACCGGCCCTCCCCGGCTTCTTTGGGGTTTAGGGTTTATAGGGCTATAGGGGTACATATAGTATAGGGTTTTTGGGGTTTAAGGGTTTGAGGTTTGGAGGTTTGCGGGTTTGGGGTTTGGAGTTTGTAGGCTTTCTGGGTTTGGGGTGCAGGGTTTATAGCGTTTTGGGGTCTACGCTGTACACAGGCTTTAGGTGCTTCTTTAGGGGTTGTTACAGGGTTGTTTCAGGATTTCATAGAGTTACATAGCACTGCACTATTTCAGGTTTATTATGGGGTAATCACACGTAAGGTTTTAGTTCAGTGTTGCTTTAGGGCTTATTGGATTAGTGCTGGGTAATTAAATTCGCTGCTTTCGGGAATAATTATGGGGTTAGGACAGATTAAGTTCAGGTTTTAAAGCAAATGTGCTTTGGGGTATAAGAGTATTGAATAGGTCTTTACGGAGTTTTGGCGGATTGCTTATAGAATCATGAGGTGATGTGGGTGCACGACAAGGTTTAATGAGGTCATTATGGAGAACATTTGTGTAGTCCCTTAGGCCAACAGGACACGCCGCTCTTGTACTCAAGACTCTCTGTACTTAACTTAAGGAACAAGTTCATCACTATTGCGACATACAGTGACAAGTTTCAGGATTGATCGCAACATGGCTCTTCTTCTCCGGCCACAGCCTTGTGAAGCATCGCAAGGTCCCGAGCCCGCAACCCTTAACCGTCACGCTTGAGCCATCAACGCAATGACTCTGAAACCTCAGAGCGACGACTCGTGAAATCCTGCATCCTATCCCACGCCCACAATGAGGTCCTAGTTCCAGTGAATGTATGCTGGGTTTCAAAAACACTAGCAGAACCGAGATGCCTAAATAGTTATAATTAGACCCTGAACCCAACCCCCGCCCCCCCAACCAACTGCACCATCCCAACCTCAACAAGCTGTAGACTCTAAGCCTTCGAAGTCAAAATCCCGGATACTTCGAAGCCTGAGGGTGTAAGTTAAGAGCAAAGCTGCATGCGCCCCGTTGCTAGGACTGCGCAGTGGGAAACATGGCCTTGAATCTTGGACCTGAGCTGGAAAGGGATATCGACCAAATCTCAGTATCATTGTTGGCTGTTTTAAATACTACCATGATTCCTAAGCCTTTAAACTTAGGCCCTAAACCCCAAAACCCCAAAGTTGCGGTGTCTGGTGCCGCGGCAATCATCATTGGTATTCTTGTGCTACGGTCTTCAAGATCGACTCAAGTGCTGTGGATTTAGCGTTTGGGTTTAGTGGTTTAGGTCTTAGAGCTTTATAGTGCCTTAGGGATTAGGGGTTTAGGGTTTAGGGTTAGGGATTAAGGGTTTAGGGGGTTTAGGGTTTAGGTGTTAGAGTTTAAAGGTTAGGGATTAGGAGTGTAGGGGGCTTGGGTTACGATAGGGCGTTACGGCGTTACCCATAGTCTTCATTGTAGTTCGGTTTTTTGGTTACTCAAATTTATATTATAGGATCTTATAACCATAATAGAATTGGTTAAGTTAACCAAGAAGAAGAACTACAATGGATACTATACGTACCCCAAAACCCTAAGCCCTAAACCCAAGACCCTAAACCCAAAACCCAAACCCTGAACCCTAAACCCTACACCCAAACCCAAAACCCAAAACCCAATACCTAAAAGCCAAAGCCCAAAACCAATCATCCAAACCCAAAACCCTAAACCCCTC